ATATATATATATATATATACACACACACACATATTATTTATTGGTATTTTTTGTCTTCTTATCTTTATTATTATTATTCTTTCATCCCCTTACTTATGATGTATCTTTTAGGTAATGGTGGCTGGTAATTTAACCAATGACCCACCTGCAGGTCGTTTTCCATACAAACAACCAAGAAACGTGCCTTTGCCTACCCCTATATATATACCAACAGTTGTATTTCACGACCCCCTTTCGGGTTTCATGGCCTCCACACATACCCACGTGACTGTTATTGTCTCTAAGTCTGGCTGTCAATTTTCTAAGCCACCAATGTGCACAAGAATGCACCTTCTCTGCTGGTAAACACTTTACTGAACGGTGCCCCTGGTACTGCTTCTGGTGCAGATCTGGCTCCTCTGGAGGGGAACTTCTAATGTGAGTGTGAGAACACACATGCACAAAGAAGCCCACGTAAAGAGGCTAAAGAGCAGGATCTGTATACAAGGTTTCGTGGGGAATTGGATGAGGCCGTGGTTCATTCCACTGTGAAGAGTGGGCGCCTTGGCTAGTCTTGAAAATCACCAGGTAAATAAGGGCAGAAGCTCCCTCCAAGCAAAGGACACAGCGTGGGTCGATTTATTATTTTGGCTACTATGTCAAAACACTTTGGCAGCAAGTAGCAGAAAACCTGGACTCGACCAGCTTAAATGTAAGGAGATTTGTTATCTCACAGCGCAAGCTGTCCATGGGTAGGCAAGGCTCCAGGCAGGGTACAGCAGGGCTCTGACCCCACTTCACTGTCACCCTACCTTCCTTTGTGGGGTTTTGCTTCATCAGCGGTTCCAGACATCACAGGCAGGCATGCCCGTGACTAGGGAAAGAGAAGGGACTGCCCCTTTTTAGCAGCAAGGGAACATTTCCCTTCAGTGCCCTAATAATTTCTCATCTCACTGGCCTGAATAGGGCCATGTGTCTGGCTCGAAGCCAGTCACCTTTAAGGGGTGGGAGATGACCATGGTGGCCTTACACTCCTTGGGACTCGCCCCCCTGTTCCCGAGAGAGGCTACGTGAATAAATTCAGTACTGCATCATCGAAGAGGCAGAGGGCAGATTTTACGTGAGCAGTCAACAGAGCCTGCTGCCGCCACTCCCTGCATATAAGACTTTTTATTTTCAAAGAGAAAGAACCAAAATGAGAACAAAGCATGCTATTACTTGTACAATAGGACCAGGCTCAGAAAGAGGACTGTTTCTGGGCAAGGAACTTTGGTTACGGCCGGAGTGACACAGTTATAAAGAAAATCTGGAGATTTCAAGAGCTGGCTGCCCATGGGCTAGCAGCTGCAGAAATAGCAAAGCATCTCCGTGCAGTCATTAGACATGACTGGCGTGACTGAGCCCTGCCACGTCACATAACTCTGTGCTACTCTCGGAGTGTGTGCAGTGTCAGGGATGACAGTCACTGTGTTCTGCGCTAT